TATATATATATATATATATTAGGTTTATAAAAACCGAGGCTAACTTGTTTATATGATATAAACATACTTTTAAGGTCAAATATGATATAAACTTGTTTAGAAGTCTTATGTAAATATCATATCAGACCTTAAAAATATGTGACGATGCATGTAATTGTTGTGTTGTGTATATGATATGTTGATAAAATCGTGTTGTTCATATGCAATGTCGATATGTTGATGCTTGTATGATTGCATTGAAAGTTGAGAACTTGTTGTGTAATTGTGTTGCAAGTTGAAAATGTAGCTATATTTGGAAAGTCGTTACTTGGAGTGATTGTTGCATATTGAGTTGTTTAAGTATAGTATAGCTAGTCGATTTCTCTATACTTATTGATTTCTTTTGAATACTAGCTTACTCTTACATATTTTCTTATAGTTGGACTATGATGATTATACTTGGTATAACAGTAGGACATGGATAAATCAAAGGGATTCTTTTGAGAGTCATGTTGGTGGATGAAAATGTTGTCTTGAACTACCCTTGGTGTAGCATTTACTTTATAATGTTGATTAACCAACAACGATGTACACTTTCAATAATGGATTACTCTATCTATACACACACATATATATTTTGTATAATTATAGTTATTGTCCTATTGAAGGATTTATTTTATTATTTCAATTGTTGACAAAACTTTTACACATGTATATATTATTATTTGTATATCCAGGTATTGTTTGAATGTTAACCCTAGATAATTATATTTATATTTTTGCTGCTAGTAGTTGAGTTATAAAGTGTAGGGACCTATTGGATTTTTAAAAAGATAAATTAAATGTATGTTTGTAATACATAATAACACAAATTTAATATAATGATAACAATAAATATTTTTTATTTCATTTAAATAGGTGAGTATGTTAGGCTTAAAAAGTTCCTTAATAGTCTAGAATTTAACCTTTTTAATTAAATATATTTTAATAAAAAGTCTTAAAGTGACTTATATTCTTAAAAAGTTTCTAACCTCGACCTAATGTAAGATAGTTCATAAATTCTTGTTGAGTGGCATAACCGATTTTCATTCTTATTTTCATCGATAATCTTTAGGAATTTAAATACACAGACAAAACTAACTACGAGAAAATTATGGGACATCTGTATTGAAGAGCAACCAAAGAAATAGAGAGAGATAGGAAAATATGATAGTTATGTAGGTCCTTGATTCTTGTCTGCATAATCAGTAGCTTCATCTCCTTTATTTCCTTTTTGTTTCTATGATGGTTCCCTTAACACCCCGCGTGAAAAAGTTAACCATTAATGGCGTGGTATCATTCATATAAACAGATTCGAAATTTGTTGAAAATATTATGCAAGTAAGATTGACTATATAAAGTTATTTCAAAATTATTTATAAATTTTTTAAAATAATGTGTGAGCTATGAATGAAAACATCATATTCTTCTTGTTATAATTATTGTATGCTCTTGATACTAGGAGCCATTACATAAACACAATTGTCATTTTGTTACAATTATCTTTTTTTCTCTTAAGATATTTTTATGTGACAATCTTTTAAATATTGTTGCGAATTCCGATTACGACGTTCTCCAATAATATTTTTTTCTAGAATATGAACTTTAATTTTCTTCCTAAGAATTTGACTTGATTTTTGCCACAGTGAACCCTTATTAATTAGTGTCCTAACAGATAAGTGAAGAGTTTCAACGTGGAACGATATCCGAATCTTTGACACCATAATTCATTCACCTGTCTAATCAACCAGTTAATAACAAATTAGTGTTGAGCATTAAAGAAACTGAATCTTTGCATACTAGATTGCGAGAATAATGAGAAAAATATGTTACAGATTCTTTAAGAAAAAAAAAATAGTATAATGAAGAATTTAACGATAGTTAACCGTATAATTTTAAACAATTAACTAATAAAAAAATTATAATTTATATAATTTTCAAATTAATTATTATAAAAATTAATAAATTTATTATTTGATAAATTATAATTAAATATAATATATGTTTCATTAACGTTAAATCTATAAAAGACGAGTTTTAATAATTTCAAATAATTTTTTACTCCCTCCATCTTACCATGGATCGTTTGGGTTCTATCTTCTTTTCAAAGTATATCTCAACTTTTATCTTGTTTAAGAAAAAAAAATCATTTGCGTTCTCTCTTCTCTATTGATGTGTTCAGTGATTTGATATTTTTATGATCGAGTGCAGAAAGAATACAAAGAAGAGACAAGAAACAAATATTTTGTAAAAGAAAAAGCAAGAACAATTAATTATATTTGGATTTGTAAAGTTTATGCGAGTCCCAAAGAAAATAGGTTAATTAGTGGACATGATATGATATTGAAATTGCAGACAAAGATGTAACAAGTGCTTACAATGACACCATCAAGTGATGGGAGTTGTGTTAGTCAAATGAGTCGTTATGGGCAACATGACATATTAATGTAACCCTAATTTTCAAAATATTTACGATTCTTTCTAGAATGATGAAAATACAATTGATTACGACTTTACGTTTTCTTGAATGTCACATCTTGGCCTAACATACAATCTCTAGCAAGGATGAGATTTAACCATAGGATACTTCATGTTAACTTGAGTCCTTGTCAGAAGACAATTTTAGTAGTTATATTTTTTATTTATATTAAATGTTAGATATCAATTCTTCATCTTTTGGTTTTCAATACTACTTTAATTTTCATGTGCCGAATAGTGGAAAATAAATTATATATTATTAATTAATTAGAAATAATAATTGATATAATTTTTAAAATTATTATATAAAAGGCAACAAAATTATTATATAAGTGAGTGATAAGATATATTTATGTCTCTATATATTTACTAAGTAACATAATAATTGGTAGTTTGTATTGTAAAAGAAAAAATAGTTGGTGGTTTATAGTTAAAGCGTGGGTAGTTTAGTTTAAGAAGCTATCCCTTTTATAAAATTTGATTAAAGATATTTTATGTCTTCGTTAACTTTTACTATTTTATTTAAAAATAATTATAATAATAAGTAATTGAAATTAACAATGAGAGTGGTTAACAATGGGTGTGGATGATTTTTGGAAGTTAATTAGATAATATGATAAAAACTAAATAAAAAAAAGTATTTTAAAAATTATAAGAGTAAAATAGTCAATAAAAAGTGAATAAAATATAGTCAACAAAGTGTATAGAAAAAACATATAGTCTTTGTTAAAGTATATATTAGTGAAGAAAAAAACATATTTTGTATCTTCGTAAAAAAATAGAAAATAATTTTTTTTTTTATAATTTGTTTAGTTATTCAAGATTATACGTAATTATTAAGAGTAAAAAAAAACGAACACAAGATGAAGTTATTCTTGATATTATTAGTATAGATATAACTGAGAGAGATATTATCTTTGTATTCAATGAAAAATACTCTTGAAAAAAATATAAATAATAATTTGATAAAATAATATTATAAAAATCAAGTGTGCATATCATTTATTCTTTTAATAGTTATAATTTTTATTAAATGTTACAAATCAACTTCAATATATATATATATATATATATAATTTTATTTTATTTACTGAAACTTGGATAGTTATAGTAGCCTGAATCCTGATAAGAGGATTTACATTTTTTCGAAAACCAAAAGATTAACAAGAGAAACGAAAGAAAGTGGTAGCATTATTTACTATCCTATTTCTATTTAGAACCTGTCATTTCATGGTTTGGCAAGAGTAGACAGCTAAAGTAGGATTTCCTTCTCGCTCACACACTACACAGGGTCTTAGTCTTCTGTATGATCATTAATTTTATGTTTTCAAATATCACATAGTTAAGGTATTAGCTTGATCTTCAGAAATTCACAATTAAGTTAAGTGAATTGTTAAACATGTCCCTGTTATCATTAAATATTTTTTATTTTCTTTTTCCATTAACAACTTTACATAAATGTTCCTCTTTTCCCTTCTCCTTTCACTTGCTCAAATACATTTTATTCTTCTCTTTTTTCACTTATTTCGTTTTCTATTATCTGACAATGTTCTTCATCTTTCTTTCTTTAATTGTTTGGCTTTTCTTCTTTAATGATTCAGTTCATTCTTCCCTAAAATAATACGTTGAAAGCTCATTCGTAACATTATATGGAAAGAAGAAAAAAAATTGTTTTGCTCGAATTACGAGTTTAGAGGTTAAATTGTTGCGGTGGTTGTGTATGAACGTCCTTCAATATTTGTGATAATACCACATTTTCTTTTGTTTAGATAATATTATTTCAACAATGAATTTGTCCTTGTTATTTTAATGTCAAACACATACAAGACATAAATCAATAGAAGGCCTTCGTAATTCTGAATTGCGAAAATTTTTAGGAAGAGTCAAAGGATCACAAGAGGGGTCAGAAATAATAGGAAGAGAAAGGTGTATGAGTTTAGACATAAAAATACGAGAAAACTACTTGAACAAGGGATTTTTGCATCAGTTTAATTGTATCTTTGATCCTTATCTAACTGCTTTCATTACATTGTCTCTAATACTAATAACAAGTAACAAAATGAGACATTCTCCATTAATAATTATCCCATAAGCTGAAGTATTTAGATCATAAACATATCACTTTCACCAAAATAATCCAAAAGAAGGCACTATTTTTTTTATTCTACATAATTTAAAAATTAAGAAAAAAAAAAGATTATCCTGCCTAATTTATTTATATATATATATATAATATAATAAAATAAAAAAAAGTAATCCTATAGTCTGATCCTCCTAAACGCACTATTTTAATTCTACGTTTAATGAATCCTCGGGATGTAGAAACTTGCCCCTCTATCCAAGGAATGCAAATCAAGAACACTATAAAGAACTGAAAAAAGAAGACCAAAATTAATATTCAATAAATGTGGGAATTCCCTTTCAATCACTTGCAGGCAGAGGCAAAACTTCAAATTAATAAACAAGCTTAATATCTAATAATGCTGAAACATCAGAAACAGAACATAATGGAAACAAAAATATACTGTACACTAATTTGTTGCATAACCTTGTTGATCCAATTTTTCATACAAACACAGTCCATCATAACTCTAGAACAGCAACCTCTTTGTCAACCCTCCAGTAATTCGAATCGTTAAACTCCTTCAGACCAGGACCGCCTTCTTCAGAATTTTCCTTTTCAGGAACTTTGGAGACAATGTTTTTTTTCAAAGGTCCTGCTTCTCCAACTACGCCTTCTTTGAGAGCATGGTCCATTGCCTTCTCAGTACCTTCTAGTTCTACACCTACAAATTCTACATCCTCTTCAAATAGTGAGGGTGCTGCTACTGATGTTTGATTTGAGTCATTGCCCCCATTGGTTGAATCTCTAGTAGTTGCAGACCCATTTGAAGGTATGGATTCCCCACCTGAAGGAGAACTCAGACTAGGGCTGCCTACTTGAGACTCAATAGACAAATCACTGCCAGACTCAGCATGATCCAGAAAGGGATTCATACTTGAGCCAGCATGTTGTATATCTGATGGTTCACCCCATCCCACCCAATCAGGTAAGGGCCTATCCCCGAACAAGTCCTCATTGTCTGGTGCCTCAAACCTGAAGAATCCCATATCTTGTGAAGGACTTGCCTTCTCACTTTCTAAGTCTAAAGTGCCCCCATTCATGGAATCATTACCAGTTAATCCACTAAAGAAGTTCGTGCTAGAGCTAGATGTACCATTCACAGTATTATTGGTGTCAGTCAATTCTTCATCCTCTCCAACCACTACCTCATCATCACTACTGTTGCTACCACCATTTGCAGCTGCATTCAATTTTATCTCATCCATCATCTCAGAGGATGATGTGCCCCCAGATGCATCACCAATTCTGTCGTCTTGGAATGCAAACCAGTTGGAGTTTGTAAACAGATTACTGCATAAAACAAACACATCAACATTTAATGATGGATGAAATAGAAAACACCTTGGGCATCCAAAGCTAGACTCACAATTTAGGTAACAGTCAACCAAAAGGAGGGAGGATAAAAACATAAGGCAGTGCATGACTGGGTTTATGTCAGAGGTTGAATAGCTAGCACTTACAGGTTATGTCTAAATAGAAAACACTAAAAAAGAATTTAACACAACCATAACTCCAACAAGAAGCAGGGGCAGAACATATATATAGGTGTATAAATGAAACATAAGAATAAAATTGCACGAATAAGGTGAAAGAAAAAGAAAATTGAAACATGACCTTTTGGAGATGCGTGTAAAACTGTAACAGCCATATGATCATTTTACCTTGAGCATCATTTCTGTGTTTCTTTCAGTCAATCTTTATGACTTTATCACAATAATAATAAATTGTGTAAACCATCTAATTCAAAAAGTATATCCGAGCATAATTTTCAAATTAACCATGCCACAATAATTTCCTGACCATGGTGGTCCAAATTCCTAAATGCTTCCCCCTCCTTACTCTATTCTCTTATATCACCACCTAGCTTCCCCCACGATACTAGTTTCTGTACATGATGAAGCAGAACATGGAGGCAGACACTAGTCACACCATGAAGCAGAAAACCAAAACTCAAATATCTTCAGGGGTTACAAAAATTAAAAAGGCATATATATTATATACTATTTCCCATCACGCGATGTGAACAAAATCTCATGTCACTAGATGAGGTCAGCTACATGGATTACACGTGTCACATGTCATTCAGCTCAGTTAAAAATCAAATCTTCAGAGATATTATTCACCAGGATGTGAACATTTGTAATTAATTGCGGGTGTAGCTTCTTATAGCAGCCAACAAAATGGTATGAAGATCTCCACAAGCAAAGATAAAATCCCTTTATAGAGAATCTATAAGCACAACACAAAGTAAATGCCGAGTATATCAATATGTTGTTTCTCTAGTCACATATCCATCCACATTTAATTTTTCCTTAGTTGCAACTTGCAACCAAAGAATATATCTATAGTTTGTGACTGCACGCTAACTACACTGTCATCTTCATTAAAAATGCATAAAGAATTAAGGAAAGAATGGTTACCACATGATGAATATGAATAATGAATTATACGGAAAACCTAGAAAGATAAACACTTAGAATAGTAGTACACAATACACAACGCATGTTTTAATGTTTTAAAGGCATAGCAAGTGAGTTATTTATTGTATGCAAGTTATTTTGCACAAATTATCATGCCTTATAGATCCATGAGATCAAATTCGTGATGGTTGCCAGTTATCCAACAAAATAAAATACTCACCTCCCTTGATCATCACCTAATCTTAAAGATGATATGACTACTTCAGCAGAATCATCGTCAAAGTAGACATCCTGCATTCGATAAAAACACATTAGTTTATTATCAAATTAGTTAAACAAAGAGTAAAAGATTACTGTATTATAGGCACTATTATTCTAGATCACGTTTGAATTTGGGTTGTGAAGGCATTGCCACACTAGAAGGAGGCAGGAAAATTTACAGAACCTCAGATTCTGCAGTATTCTATCTCTTGTTTTCTTTTTGCGAGTAAGAATGATGAACCTGTGATTCTGATCTTATTAAGTGTTGTTAGATAGCCAATGTTAGCAGCATGCATCCTATATCCTCTAGTCATTTCTGGCGAGTCTCCAACTAATTGAACTTTTCAGTTAATATTATGTCAATTTTTATGCATTTTATTTTTATTTGCAAACAACTTAGGTTTTTATACATATATAATTGATATATACACATTTTAACTGATATGCAACTTCTGCTATTTGCCTGAGATGCTATCCGTTATATGACATAGCAGATTATTGTCTTCCGGCATTTTCCACAATTGGTAACAGTCTTTTAACAACGGTTTATCCCTATTTTCTGTTATAAAATAACTAGTTTCCTGTAGGAATATATGTTGGATGATTAATTACTGTGTATCTTGGAGACAGGCTACCAAAGTAAAGCAACTAATGCCCAAAATAGTAAAACTGCAGGGCACAAAAACGCAAAAATTGTGCTTATGAATAACAGGACCAAAATGAGAATTAGACAGTCACCTAATTTCCAAATGAGACATATATTTGCAAGTTAATCAAAGAAAATACCTTCAGGTACAATAAAAATAAAAATAAAATTACCTCATCATCTCGATCAAGACCGCCATGATCCTATACAAAACTCGTTGAATTAGTCCATTTAGGTAATAGCAGTGTCCAAGACCAAAGGCAAAAATGGGAAACTAAAACAAGGGGGAGAGGGGCAGATGATTCAAGAAGAACAAAAGGTCCAGACAGGGTAAGGAGCAACCATTAACTACAAACCTCTTCATTATCATCATTTCCATAAATTTTGTATCTAAAAGCCTGGCTCAAATTATTTGCTAAAGCTGCAACATCGTAGTCTCTGTCATGAAGGTCTTCATCATCACTATCCCTCATTCTATCTTGTAATGCAGTTGGACGCCTGTACATAACAAGGACAAATAAGAAATCAATCAAAATTATAAAGAATTCACAACATAACATCAATTCTCCTATATTTTTAATTACATACACAAAAAATCATGCCCAACCAACCCTCGTTGCTTGAGATAACCTCACTTGCTGTCATAAGACTACCCATTTTAAGGTAGCATTGTATTGACACTTTTATTTATATTGCTAAAACCAAAATTTACATAACCAACAAAGACATTATGCTGAATAAAAACACATACTCTCGGTGACGCTTCTGCTAAGAATTTAGAGCTAGATAATTGAAATTGGAACTTACCCACAAGCCCAACGGTGAACATTCTCAACCACATTACGCTGCTGAAGAACTGTAGCTTGCCACTCATTCCAATCAGTATTCTCCTAGAGCATTCATGCCAACACATTTAAGAAACAAGTTCAACCTCATCATTTAAGGCATGGGATAACAATTCAACTGAAAGCACAAGGAAGTCCAACAAGAACACACTATAATGGCAGTTAGGGCTAAAGGGTATCACAGATCAGTTTGGGTTCAATTTGGCCAAATTTGTTACCCAACCCGATCAAAATTCCAAGAGTTGGGTTGGATTTGTGTAAATTTTTTGTCAAACCCAAACTGACCTGACCTGATCATGAACTGGATCAATCAGATCCAACAATTTAAAATTAGATTAAATTTTCTGAAAATTAGAATTTTTAAAATTAAATTATTTTATATAAAAACAAACTATAATTGTATCAATATAAGATATTGCTATTAAACACATTAAATAATATATAAATAATCTTACATAAATAACATGTTTTGCGGTTGACCCAAACACTAAAAAATCTGTCCCAAAGTGATTGCTTTGGTTTTGTTCAATTTAAGTTCACGGGTTACTAGGACCCATGAACACCCACCCTTAATCCCAGTGTTTCAGAAGACCATGCTCTGGGATCTAAATCCTCAACACTGTTGATGACATTTTCATTTAAACAATTATTAAAAGCGAACTAGGCACATATGGGTCTGACTCACATCCTCCATGAAAAAAAAAAAAAAAAACTGTTTCAGAAGACGACTGTTAATAACCATCTGCCATGAGTTTATAAGCAAAGCTGGATGCCAAGGATTAAATTCAAAGTAAACATTACAGATCTCAGATATTTATACTAGTCGGAAAAGTTTCATATACTAGATACTAAGAAAACCATGAATCTTGTCTCTGGAATTAAATACAAAACTAACCTGAAGACATGCCAGAATGTGGGTTTGGTTATGAGCCAAGTGAACAAGTTTATTGAAAATGCGGGTAATATGTCCAATGTTTCCTACCCGTGTTCCCCGTTTTCCAGCAGCAGGTACTGTGGGCTGAAAAAACACACAAATTTAGTTAAAAGATGTTCTTATAGACTTAACAGCATATTGAAACTAAGTATATAGTTACAGTGCATGAGATATCACATGAACTCATATAATGCATCTTTGTTTTCATTTTTTATCCAATAAAACATGAAGAAAATCAAGATAACTAAACAGTACAACAGAAAAGTTTTCTAAATCATGTTTCTTTCCATTCTAGGTTGAGAGTTGTAAATTAGTGGCTCAAAAATATAGACAGCTGAAAAACTAATGGCCAACCCAATCTCCCATCCATCAGTTTGAAGCATAAACTTACCTGATTGCTTTCAGCAGAAAGAATACAATGTTTATCTGCTTGGAGAAACCTTCCAACTAAATCACAATCTCGAAGAAGATGATCAATAATGGCATCAGATTTGCTCTCCAAACATGATGATATGATACTCTCTACATGATGGTGTAATGAGTTATTGTATGGATACCTGTATTAGTGCAGAATATGTCAAAAGAAGAGAAATATTAATGCAGATTTCATCAAGATTTCTTACTCAAGAATATTAATGCAGAATATGTCTACATGAAGAAAAATATACAACTCTGCAAAATTGAAAATTAAAAGTTGCTTACTCAAAGAAAAGATCAATGACTCGTCGAATGGTTCCTGTGTTGGCCAATTCTTTTTCTGCCACTTCGTTTCCAGTTTTAAGAAGTACTGCAATAAACTCCACAATCTGAAATAAAATGCAAATTGATCAGAGAAACAAAATGCATTCAAAAATCACATCGGTTCTCTCCTTTCTGAGAAATATGAATGTTCAAAGTACACAACCAAGGTTATCGATGGAATAAAATTCAATATCAACTGACCAACTACAACCTAGTTCTGGAGCGGACGGCCATACATGACATTCATTTAAAAAAATTAAACAACAAACCTTTAATCGATGCTTGCCAAGTGGAGGTCTCAATTCGCCATATGTTGTAGGCAATACCTTGTTATCGGATGACACATCCAAAAGCACAAGAAATTCACCTGTAGACAAGAAATATAATCTTACTTATAATGTGACAAGGCTGCTTCAACAAAATGTGTCAGATTTTGCAACAGAATTAACATATCATTCTTCAAGCCTCTAATTGAGGAATAATTATAAGATGCAAAACATGCACATAATTACTAAAACAGCCACCCCTCCACCCCAATGATAAAACCTGATAATAATGAAGGGTACAACATCTAACCAAGAGTACTTTGATATCAAAAAGAAAATCAATATGTTAATTATTCATTAAACATTAGAACTCAAACCACATTATAACCCATTTTATATAATTTTGTTACAAAAATGAAAATCATAAAATGCCCACATTACAGCAATCCCCCCTCCCCCAAAAAATAAGCTATAAATATATATTTCCCCTTTCTTGTAGGCTTCTTTTTTTCAAGCCTTTATATACATCTTCTAGACTAGGGTTCACCATTTGGTAGTTGAAATCTTATTTTCATTAAAATGATTATACATCTCATAACATAATTTTTGAAAAAAATTACAGCATTTACGCTATAATTTCCTCCAGTCATATTATGTTCCACATTATTCTATACAAGCAACACAGCTAAATGAAAAATAAATCATCATGAAGCATTTACACTGTTTCCACTCATGGGAATAAAACAAACCATACTTACCAAGTTTAGGTAGCATTGCACCAATAGTATCTGGGTTTACAGGTATTGGTGGCTCATACATGTTTTGACTTCGGAATGAATGGAAAAAAGGAGATGAAATAGCTGATTTTTTAGGATCCAACAAAGAAATACACACTGAGAGCGAGTTGACAAGGCTAGACTTTGATTGTGAATCTTCCAATGCATAACCCAAAATTTTTGCAACAAAACTGCAAAGTAACAATTGTAATGATCAATTTACAGGCATATTTGAAAGAGAGAAAAAAAGTAGAGCCTTGCAACACAAAACCTTGGACTTGAAAGCTTAATTGCTAGAGTAGATGATGCAACTCGAGTAATGGTACACAATGTTTCAGCTACATTGGCATGAACTTCAGGAGGACTCTGGTTAAAAACAGAAAAGACACAGCTGTCAGATTATTTTAAGCATTAACAAAAAACGACAAGGAGGCAAAGAGCCAATAAAATTCAAACACTCAACTACAACCAAAGTCAGATCTTTTAGTTTCCCAGAGTTTTTTCCTTCTTTTTTTTTTCCATTTATAGCTACAAGATGCAAAAGATGTGTTTTATGTGACCCTTATAAAGACCAACTCAAAACACCACAATCCAACTTGAGTTGTAAGTGGTAACAGCATTCCTAAAAAATTTGTGTTGTCAAATGTCAAGTAAAAAAAATTCCTTTAGCTGGCCAAAACATGCACTCACACTTGTAGAAGCGGCCTATATTCAAGAGTAAGGCTTCATGTAAGTTCAATGAACAAGACTTCAATAACTTAACACCAGGCAAGTGTAGAATGGCTAGGTGAAGTAGGTCAAAGAATATCCCATGGATCATCTACTAATAAATGAATAAACTAGCCTCCTACAAAACATGGTAAACTCTCTTAAGTTTGCTTTTGCAACAAGGTGCATATGCAACATACAGCTAATTAGCAACATCTGATTGAAAAACTATAAACACAGAATGTGGACGTTTCACTTACAGATGGACTTAATTTATCGACAATCATCTCTAGCAGGTTGCTCTCAGCCAACCATTGCATCACATCTATAAAATTGGTATATACGTGGTCATCAGCACCAACTAATCGAACCAAAACCTGTGCAAAGAACTTAATTTAGGGCTCATTCTAGCAAATCATATTAGCAAGATTTCAATAATATTAAAACTACTAGATAGATGTTTACCTCCATAATGGATGTAATGCCTATCAAATCTACCAGTTGGCGAAAAACATGTTGATGGGCCTGCAAAAAGTAACCAAAATAATGAATGGAAGATATCACAAGTAGAATAGGATCACATATTATAGAGCTTAGTTGTAAAATAGACTCCCAACTGCTTCACAGAGTGATGCTTAGAACAAAATGAATAAGTTTTATATCTGGTAGTACTTTACTGTCTCCTTAAAATTGTATAAATCATATTAAAAAAAAACATTCTGCTATGCATGTATTTGGATGGGATTAATTTTATATATACTAATTTGAATGATGGGAAAACAGTTGAGTGTTACTATTTAAATGTGTTAGGTAATTTGGATTTATAATCAAAAGATCATACTCTCTCAACAAAGGAAATAAGGTTTTTTATGATAAACAAAATTTTGCAGGTTATTTAAAAGCTAACAAATTATTTATCAGTTAACTTTTATTTTGGCATTTTATCCTCAACAATTGATTAATTTAATTTAAATACAAAACCAACTACTACAAATAACTCTACCCATTTTTCATAACGTTACTTTTAAAAAAACAGATTATTTTAATTTACACAAATCCAAATGAAATAATCTTAAAACCACTTTTCACCTAACATATCCATACATAAAACTTATTTCTTATAATCAATTATTAAAATAACCCAATACAGAAACACACTATAAAAACACATTGGTTTACTTACTTGAACATAATTCATAAGTGGTACTGTCTTTCGTATCAATAAGCAAACGACAACCTGAAAAATTGAACACAAATTATCAGAGCAAATGGTTTTAATACAACCATATAACTAATGTCTTCAATGTGTCAGACTAAAAATTCCAGCATATACCTTGCTAAAGTACCCGGCCAGTAAGGTACTATGAGATCGATCAGGCTCCAAGAAGGAGAATAATAAGTTCATGAGCTGCAATAACAAGAATAGTAAGCAGAAAATAATACAAGCAAAGCATTACTATAGGACTTCAAACAAGACTCAAAGTATGAAATGAAAATAAAATATACTACAAACCTCTTCTTCATCCACCAAGGTCTTCAAAATTACATCAATTTCACATGTAAAGATCTCACAGGCAATGAATGGAAACCTAAATCACAGACCAATGATTAGATGATAAAAGGGAAACAAGAAAGTTGAAACATTGAAATATATAGCTCTTCTGCAACAAATTTTCAGTTGCAAATGCATACTTGAAGATCCGTTTGTTTTCAGCATCCTCTGGTGGTTCTTCAATGATGTAGCGTAGCAATTGCTCAACCTGAGCTCTATCTCTCAAACTGAAAGTAAAAAAAAATCGAAGACAATAGCCTTAGTTCCCATGAGGTAGGGACAGCTAGATGGATCAATCAATTCAGTGGACTTGTCAAAAACCAAAAAGTTATGAGCAGGAAAAAAAGTAAAACCCTTTATTTCAAACTGATTAGGAACATACAAGTTAATGAGACGACTGTTTAAGGCCTTGCATTCTTGGATTATTTCCTCTTCATCGAGAATTTCTTCCAAAGTGAAGTTCTCCTTGTCCAATATCGCCTCCACCTGCAGAGCACCAACCACACAACAAGACATTGAACAAGTAAATAAACAAGGCAAGCTTTCAGCCACGTCAAAGTTTGACCATAAAACCAAGACACAGTCTTAAGATTCTTCCGGTTCAATTACAAAATTTCGCTCTAAAGATCCATCATTACAGAGAAGGCCAAAGAAATAAGATAAAATTGAATTTGCCATTAAATTCAAATATAAACATAAGGTTTTCTCCCTCTTTCCTTCTTTCTTCATTTTTCATACAATTTGCAGTAATTTAAGTGAATTCACAGTAAAACTCATGGACTTTCATTGCTAAGTAAGAATGCACAAATTAAGACACTAAAGCGGAGAAAGTGGCAAAAAAAGATTACAGAGAAAACATTAATTAAAAAGCAGAGAAAATCGCGAGAGCGAAGCTAAGGCGGATCCTGCAAATGGAAATTAGAAGCGGCAAGTGATGGAAGAATTACTAAATTGGCAATTAAAAAGACGCTAAATAAATGTGCATTCGAAAAGAAATAATTCGAGCGGAAAAAAGAAGAAAACGAAAGAGAGTTGGAATTCGCGACTATTCCATAAGCGAAAGGGGAAAAGAGAAAAACTCACGGGAGAGGAGGAGGAGATGGAGGCGAGCTTCCAGAACATGAGGGATGAGAGAGAGCGAAAGAGAAGGTTTGTGGATCTGTGAGGCGTTGGCGAATCTAGCCGCGGAACATGGAACCTCCAAACCCTAATTTGAAGATCGAAAAGGTGCGAGGCGGTGAAGATGGATGGATAGGTAGAAAAATAGAGAGAGAGAGAGAGAAAGGGTAAATAATGGATTGATCGTAGCTACCTACGGTACGGTTATGGAAGAATAAGCGAAAGGTGAAGAATGAAGAGAGAGCGGTGTACTAGTACAAAATCCCAGAAATCAGAATTCCCATTTGCCACATTTGCCACATTTGCCACACAACACAACTTCACCATCCCAATTCCCACATACATAACATCCACATCTACCTACGTATCTATACGTCCCACTCTTTTTTTAATTTATTTTCTCATCCATCTATGTATTTCTGTCTACATTCACCTACGTATGCATATACATACATGTATGCTAATTGCTACACCTATTTCAATATCTATTTTCGCTCTCGCTTATATTATAAAAATTAAATATCACTGTCTTTAATAAGGATTTCTTTTTTTTTTCTTTCTGATGTTGCATTTAAAACCTTTTGACTAATCAATGTAGAAATCGTATCATTAAAATTCAATATTTTCTCTAAAGAGAAACCATAGGTAATGAATAAATAATGAATGAATACCAACTTATGATCAGAAAGGTTATAATATAATTTTTACGACTGAAGATTCAAACGTTATAAATATGATTGATGATATACAATATTAATATTAATATGATGCGGTTGTTTTATTATGAAAATATAAATAAATAAAAAAACTATAAAATATTATATATTGTAAATGAAATCCTAATTATAAAGATCGAATTACAAAATTATAAAAATAATAAATAACTTGATTACATTTTTCTTAATTGATATAGCTAATTATAAATTCTCAAAAAGTTTAGTGAAAGAAATAATGTATTCAACCTTATAGTTAACCATTGTAATTTCAGGCTTGCTAGTTTATAGTGAACCAAAGTTGTGTGGAGTAATAGGAGGGTAGATGGATTATAACTTTTAAATGGAATCTTGAAAACATAAAAACAAAATTGTTGTCCCAGCTTTCATTCAAAAACGATGAATACGGAACTGTAAATTGTAAAATATGACAACTCATTTTTATTTTTATTTTTGTAGAATATGACAACTCATTTTTATATCCCAAATTTGGATCCTCTTTCTTTTTAAATGAGATAATTTTACGTTGATCTCCGCATAATTAATTTTGTCCTATTTTACAGTCTACATTCTTTGACTTGAAACAACTTTTATAAACTTTGATTTATTTGATCAATACACAAAGTTATTTAATTAACTTTATATATAATATTTTACGGTGTATACATTATTTGACTGTAAACAACTTTAAGTTTGATTTATTTAATCAATACGCAAAGTTATTTAATTAACTATATATTTTGGGATATAAACACCAGCAAGATAATAATGTATTATCGAGTCGTAAAAAATAAAGTTCATTTCCGATCAATCAACCTTTAAATTGATTTGGGTTTGGGTTGAATCAAATTCAGGTAAAATTCATTGAACACATGCAAATCTAAACATTCTTTCAACTCTTAAAAAGACTCAGCATGTAACGCATTTTGTAGTGTCGTGATCACCAATAGAGACAAGATAGGTAAGGAAGGTATAGTGAAAAAGTGAAGTAGACAAAGGGGAAGGGAAAGGGTTACAAAAAAAAACGATTCAGCAATAAATGAGAGAGAGAAGATTTACAGAGAAGAATCTAAAAAAGTGATGATGAGATTCGAGTGAGTGAATGTGTGTGGATGTGTCTCTCACTCTCTTATTCGCTTTCGCGTCTTTTTTTTACGTCGGACTTGGTAGGGTCAGACGTAAAATATAAAATCTACTTCGGACACAACGTATATCTGTCGTAAATTTTACATTTTACGTCGGATCCTACCAGGTTCGACGTAAAAAAATTTACAAAAATTACAAAAATACTACCGTATCTTTTTTACATCAGATTTTAGTGTGTCCGATGTTAGAGAGGTGACGTAATATACTAATTTTTAGTAAAAAGCAAACAACAGTGTGGCATATTGGAAATGCTTACCCTATCTTTATGCCCACTGCCACAAGCAAACGCATGGTGGAATTGCTTTCTTCTTCAATGATGGAAGAAGTTTCGATGGCTATCACATACCGCACCAACTTCTCTTCTAAAGAGATGAAGAAGGAAGAGGCAAATAGCTAATAAGGGAAGAAGTGATTTATGGAAAGTGAAACAGGTCATATGTGTGTCATTGTTTATGTGACAAGAGAGTGAGAAATTGAAAAACTGGGTGGGATAATGTGAATCTGATGTGAGGCTTAATAAACGTTTTTACTTTTCAGTTTTAGTGATAATGAGATTTGTAATTGTGATATTTAAAATTGAACTAGATACAATAGTACATGAATCAGTTTTAACATTTTATAAATATAATTTTACTGTATTTGGATAGTAAGTTAAGTCTGAGTTTCAACGAAAATATTTTCCTTAACTTGTACCCGCCCAAAATTAACCGCATAAGTTTGACTTTCTAAATCATATAAACCAACATGCAGATTTTAAACGAACAAACATTATATTATTGGATCAAGTCGTGCAATTTGTGATCGATGACAACTTTTTTGCTCAAGCCTGAGTATTACCTATTGTAACACTTTGTTGTGTGTTGTTATTTATTTTAAATTTTAATATGTAAATGATTATGATGATGTGTTGTTTTATGTTTTAAAATTATAAGGATTGAGAAATTCTCAAGAGTTTAGTTGTTTGAGGTCATTTCGTATTGGTCAAAGTTGACCATGTTTAGAGAAAGGTACCTAATATCCTTTTAAGACTTAAACTTCATAAGTTATTTCTTTAAAGTTTTTAAAGATAAGTTTTAGTGAGATAGATTTTGGAGATCTTTCTTTCTTCTAACTTTTTAAGAGTGCTCTAATTTAGGGATGGCAAATAAACTCGTACTCGTGGGTAATACCCGAACCCGTCCCGACTTTGACGGGGAATACCCGCTTTGACCGGGTACGGGTACGGGTACGGGTACGGGTACGGGTAAAACTCGATAAAAGAAATCGGGTACGGGTACGGGGACGGGTATATACTTACCCACCCCGTCCCCGTCCTCGTCCCCGTCCCTATCCCCGTCCCCGGTTAAATACTCGTCCCCGGTTTATTTTATTTTTAAAAAATTAACATTTTGTTCTAAAATGTAAAAGGGTCACGCACGCTGAACAAGAGCAACGCAAACACTTATTAGGGTTTCAATTTTCAAACCCCATTCGACGACCAAGCACTCCAGCGACGGAGCCACCGGACCAGCCACGGAGCCACCGCGCCATCCGCAGAGTCAGGGAACTCGTCGGTGAATTTGGAAATAACCTCTCCTTTCACAAGGTGCTCCTTCTGTTGCCTCTTTCGTCCAATTTCGATTCGTTCCCTACCTTTTTCTATTCCTCCATTATTTTGCTTTGTGGCTTTTGCTTTTTCTGGATTCATCATTTTCTGGATTTAGGTTTAGATTTTTAATTCGTTCCTGTCAGATTTGTGGAATTTTGGGATTATAAAGATAAGTTGAAAAAAATTTGTAAAAAAAATAAATTTTAACGGGTACGGGTACGGGTATACCCGATACCCGACGGGGACGGGGATGGGATAAAAATTCCATACCCACCGGGTATGGGGACGGGGACAGGTATGAGTTTCAGTCGCGGGGACGGGGACGGGTATCACGAAACCCGTACCCGCCCCGCCCCGTTGTCATGCCTACTCTAATTCTTTTCCGAAGCAGAGATTGTAGTGGTTGAGTAGAGATTCAAAGCTAAAGAGTTAAGAATCTAAGGTTAAGGTTGTCTTACGGTGAGGGTTTGAGAAGTCTTGTTATTTGCCATTTTCTTCCTTTCCTTGTTTCTTGCAAATTTGAGGTTAGGGAAACTTGTAGTTTAACCTTATGAACTTATGTGTTTAATTCATGCTTAAATGATGTTTTATGTTGAAATTTTAAGGGTTGAACCCAAGGTGCTTTGTTCTTGAGGTTTTCTTAATGAAATGAGAAGAATATATGATCTTAAATCATGTTATTGCATGCTGTTTATTTTAGCAAACCTAAGTTGTAAAAGTTGAAAAGATGTTAAATTGATGATCGCCTGTTAAGTTGGTATATTTTGATAGTTTAAATTGTTGTTTTTGAGGGAAA